GCTACAGGCCTCCAACTAGACTCTGCGCTGCTGATCACAACCCTCTGGGCTCTGACGTTCAGCCAGTTCTCAACCCACTTCACTGTCCACTCATCCAACCCACACTTCCTAAGCTTGCGTATGAGGATGTTATGGGAGACAGTGGCAAAAGCCTTGCTGAAATCAACATAGACAACATCTACTGCTCCCCTCATCCACCCACCGTGATCATCATAATAGAAGGCTATAAGATTGGTCAGGCATGATTTCTCCTTGGTGACTCCATGTTGACCATTCCTGATAACCTTCTTTTCCTCCACGTGCTTAGAGATGACATCCAGATCCAGCTGTTCCATCACCTTTCCAGGGATGGAGGGGAGGTTGACTGGCCTGTAGTTTCCTGGGTCCTCCTTCTTGCCCTTTTTGAAGACCGGAGTGACACTGGCTTTCCTCCAGTCCTCAGGCACCCCTCCTGTTCTCCAGGACCTTTCAAAGATGATGGAGCGTGGCTTAGCAATAACGAGAGCTCCCTGAGCACTCGTGGGTGTATCCCATCAGGGCCCATGGATTTGTGGGTGTTGAGTTTGCCTAGATGTTCTCTAACCCAGTCCTCCTTGACCAAGGGAAGATCTTCCTTTCTTCAGACTTTCTCTCCTTCCTCCAGGGTCTGGAATTCCTGAGGACCAGCCTTAGCAGTAAAGACTGAAACAAAGAAGGCATTCAGTAACTGCGCCTTCTCTGTATCCTCCGTCACCAGGGCACCCACCTCATCCAGCAGCCGGCCCACATTTTCCCAAGCTGTCTTTTTGCTGCTGATGTACTTGAAAAAGCCCTTCTTGTTGTCCTTGACATCCCTTGCCAGATTTAATTCCAAGTGGGCCTTAGCCTTCATTGCTGCATCCCTACATTCTCCGACTACATCCCTATATTCCTCCCAAGTGGCCAGTCCCTTTTTCCACATTCTGTAAATTTCCTTCTTCAACTTGAGCTTTTCCAGGAGCTCCTTGCTCATCCGTGCAGGTCTCCTGCCTCCTTTCCTTGATTTCCTACTCTTTGGGATGCACTGATCTTGAGAAATAAGAGGAAGAAAACAGAAAAGAAGAAAACCACAGTATGGAACCGAGATCAGAAAAATCATGAAGCATCAAACTACTTTGAAAGATGAAACTTTTACTTACTGCTCTTTGGGACCCACCTTACACTCTATGGGACCCAACCACCCTACATGCCTGTTTACACTACGTATAGGCATAGCTGATGATAAGGGATATCAAAGGGGATGACAGCAAGATGTGCAAGGTAGAAAGGATTCCCCTGTGACCTTTGGCTTGAAATCCTGGCAAGGCTCCCAGAGGAACGATGCTCCATTTTAGAAAGTGCTACTGGCAGCGTATGAAGGGCTGCCAACTACTGAGCCATTAACTCAAGAAAGATACATGATGTGTGCCTACTCCTGTTTTAAAACTGTTTTTAACTAGTAAGCCGCTCCCCCAGGTGTAGCGCGAAAGATGACGGTATAGTGATGGGCTTTGTCTATACATCCCTGAGTGACAAGTGATGGGACAAATATGGAAAGCAAGCTATGGGAGATCATAGAGTGAATTGTGATGCCTGCAGAGTACTCCCAGCTGCCCTCCTCCCCAATAACCGGCAGAGACCAGGGAAGCTTTCACAGAAGTAATTGATGGCTCTGGCAGAGCTCAGAGTGGTGGAGATGGCCCTGGAACAAAGACCCACTTGTGTCTATACGTAGACTCATATGCTGTATGAGCAGGTGCTGCCCAGTGAAAAACATTGGGTTAAAAACCAGTGAAAAATTGGATGAAAACCAACCGGCGAGTAAGTGGTAGAGACATATGGGGGAAACCACATTGGAAAAATATTTATGATATAGCTCAGTCTAGGAACATATCCATTTTTGTCTATCAGTTGTGCAGTACAGGTGAAAAGGACAACAGTTTGCCAATCTTCAGCAAGGCAAATGACTCTGGGAAACTTGACAAGGAGATCGTACTGGTCCCTTAAAGTGAACACTGGGAAGGCTGGAAATACATCCTCTCAGAAGTAGAAATAATTAGTGGTATAGGGAATGAACCCCTATCAAAGTCCTGGAGATGAGGTGGTGGTTAAACACCCAGCTCAGGGACTGATCTGGGTGACTCCATTGTTTCACGAAGGAGAAGAAGCATGGGATGCTCTAGGCATTGAGGGGAGTAAATTAACCATAACTGAGGCTTGGATTATGTCCAAGACCTAGGTGTCTTCTCTTACAGGAAAATGTGGTGTTTCCTTATCACTGTGGGAGCACCGGTAACTGGAACAACGTACGCCCAAAACCTGTCGCTAACATGTTCTGCCTTTTTGATGTTGCCCATGGGACAACTCAGATATTGAAGATCATAGAATCATAGAATATCTCAAGTTGGAAGTGTCCCATAAGGATCATCAAGTCCAACTCCCAAGATAAGTCACAACCCATCTTTAAAACTACATTTACAGGAGGAATGCTGTCTGTAATAGCACGAGGTTAAGGATTGATAGTAGGCAATAATATTGTGCTAACCCTGAGTTCTAAGTTTAACATAAATTTAACTATTTGTGATAACACTGTACAAGAAGCTGAGCATGGTTTTTACAATAGGGTGACATGGGTACTTAGAGTGGCAGGAGATCGTTTGCATTGTAGTACTAATTGTGAAATTAGTAAATGTTGCACCCACTGGCTATTGAGTCAAGGATGGACCTGTCCTACCATGCCTAAGGCTCTAGAATTACGCAGTATGAAGCACTCGCCTTGTACCTGCATCTGGCAACATATGTATGTTAATGAGACATGAGTATGTGACAATGGCTTTAGATGTGTGTGTATTCACCTTCAATACTATTCACTTTGAAGATGATGTAGATTTTGGACATTTGCCATCGTAACATGGCACATGTTTTTGACCAAACCATCAAGCAAACTTGCTGATTAACTTCTTATCTGACTGAACAGGAACATCCCACCTCACTATCTCCATCTCTTTCACATTCCACTCGAAATACTAATATTTCTTACCAGGAACTGTGCACTTTCATCCCCTTGCCACTCCACGAGTGCTCTGAATCTTTAACCCTTCTATAGATGTCCCTGGTGAGCCATCAGTAAGCCCAAGTGATTATTTTTCCAGTGTCCCCCACTAAGAAGGAGCTCGGGGTGGAGGCCAGGGCTCTCCTGAGTCCTTTCCTCGGGGCCTCCCTCACCTCCCTGTTCCTCAGGCTGTAGATGAGGGGGTTGACTAGGGCCGTGAGGACAGTGTAGAAGAAGAAGAACACTTTGCTGAGGTGCTGCAGCGGGGCTGTTCTGGGCAGGACATAGACAGCAAAGAGGGAGCCATAGAATATGGCAACAACGGTGAGGTGAGAGGAGCAGGTAGAGAAGGCCATCTGCCTGCCCACGTTGGATGGGATCCTCAGGATGGCATCTGTGATGCACATATAGGAGGCCAGTGTAAAGAGGAAGAGGAAGACCATATTGAAGAAGCCAAATATGAAAGCAACAAGTGTGGCCATGCTAGTGTCACTGCAGGCAAGCTCCAGCAATGGGGTGAAGTCACAGAAGAAGGGGTCGATTGTCCAGGGGCCACAGAACTGTAACTGGGGCAAGAGAGAAGTAAGTACCGAGGAGAACAGCAATCCCAGCAGCCAAGACCCAGCCACCAGCTGTAGACATACCTTCCAGGTCATGAGGCTTGCGTAGAGCAGGGGCTGGCATATGGCCAAGTACCGATCATAGGACATGGCTGCCAGCAGGTAACGGTCAGTAGTTGCAAAAGTGGCAAAGAAATAGAACTGAGCCACGCAGCCGTGAGCAGAGATGGTCCTGTCCCCAGTCAGGAAGCTGGCCAGCAGCCAGGGCAGGATGGTGGAGCTGTAGAAGCTCTCCAAGGAGGAGAGATTGCCCAGGAAGAAGTACATGGGGGTGTGCAGATGCTGCCCTGCCACCACCCGCACAACAATGAAGATATTCCCAACCACAGTCACCAAGTAGATGATGAGTGAGAGCAGGAAGAGAGCTGTCTGGGGTGCGGGAACTTTCCCCATTCCCACCAGAAGGAACCCCAATAGTGGTGTCTCATTATCCTGTGATTCTTTCTCCATCACCATCACAGTTCGGTCTTCTTTTTTTGCCCCATTTTGAAGAGGGAGACATTTAATAATAATTTAATATCTGTATTTCCTTCAGAGAGAATGTGTGAATGATTGTGTGAATGATCCTTGAAAAAAGATTTTGAATGAGAACAGCAAGGGATTCCGTACTCTAGCAGACAACATAGATGGCCCTGTGAAGGGCTCCCAGACTCTGGAAAGGTGAAGAACAGGTTTTCCTAGACGAGAGTCTGCTTCTGACCATGTCCGTGAATTGCTTCACGTTGTTGCTGTGAGGCAAAGTTCTTAATTTGGCATTCACAGAGAAAGTCCTCCTGCTCGGGCTGAGGACACTGTGTCTCCTATCTTCAAAATTGCCCCCTGAGCACCCAGCTCACATTTCAAGGACAGAGAGCCCTTTGCTCTCTGACAGGAAAGCTATGTCTCAGAGAGACAAAAAGGTATCTCCCCCTTCCCCAGAAGATCCCTAAGTGAAAGTATGTAAGGTTCAACACACTTTCTCACCCCCCCAAAAAAGATTGGCACTGCACAGGGTGAGATATCTCAACTCTTATTTTAGAAAGAGACTGCCTTCTCCTGCCCCCCTGGCAAAACCCAGGTCAGGGATTACAAGCTGAGACATGCAAGGGACCATGCAGTGGCATTGTACGAGTGAATGCCTAAAAGCTATTAATTTGAGGCTGTTTGGGGAGAAAAGATGATTTTGTGCAGGGAGGAAGGGGCAAACCACTGGCAAAACCCCACTGGCTTAATAACCACCCACGGATTTGCCCCAACACCTCCATCACCAGCTTGCACTCTGATGATGCTTGAGAGTAAAGACCAGGGTCAGGGTCAGGGTCTCACCATCTGCCTCTTCCCCAGGGTCTACGCCCAAACTCTGACCCAGGGCGTGGGCATTGCTCTGCCCTTGCAGTCTTCTCCTAGCAGCTCGCAGTGAGTCTCCCAGCACCCAAATGTCCTCTGCTCTGTGCAGTGTCCTGGGGTATAAAGCAGAATTCAATATCCCAAAGAGGTTTTTTCCGCCTCTCAGCTTTCTAGGGATTACGCATAGTGAAAACAATATAACTGACTCCTGACTCCCTGCTGGGATGGCAGCTCTGAGCTGCTGTAAACCTCACCACCACCTCCAGGCAAGGATGGTGTTCCCCAAACCTCCTCAGACCTCTAGAGTGGACCTCCAGCCTGCTCTCTTGAACAGGCAAACTGAGGATGGGCAATGAACACAGGCATCCCAGCTGGCCAGAAGGACAGGAGAAATGGGATTTACTTTACCTGCATGCAGACTGCAAGATTTCCCTTGGCTTGTGTGGTATTAGGCAGCTTTGATAGTCAGAGGAATCGGGGCCTGGGTGTCATGTGCTGAAGAGACCTCACTGATATGTACTTGATATATACTTTGAAGTCCTGTGTCCTTCACGGGAGGTTGCTTCTGTGATGAGACTTCTCCCAGCTGCTTTGACTTGCACCTCAGAAGCAGCTCCTCTGTCTCTGCCTCAGATGGAAAGGCAGGAGAGAGTGGCTCACTGGGTATAGAGGGCTTTGCTGTAGCTACTAAGGATGAGAGAGATGAATCCCAGCTTTTCTTGGGAGTCTCACACTGAAACCAAAGCACACCCGAGCTGGACGCGAGCCCTCCTTGTCTTGTCAATGCTTTGCTTCACAATGGAAGAAGGCAGTGCATTTCAGCCATTGCAGGCTGTGTCTTCTTGACCTCCTTCTGCCAGTGGCAATGGGGGAGAGTCACCCTGAAGACCCATGTGGTGTCTCTTGTCCTCTGTGCAGAGGCCTCAGATACCCAAAGGCATCAGGAACCCATTTCCAGGATACCCCAACCTCTTTCTATGCAGACTGCCATTTTTATAGTGTTTACCCTCCAGCTGGATCCACTCATCCTATTTAATCCAGTTTGCAATGAAGCTCTCGGTGAGATGCACAGCTGTATGGCCCTGATAACAAGTGAATGTCACAAACACCCGTCTTGACATGGACAGGGATGGGCTGATGATGACCAGGGAGTGTTGAACAAGAACCGAGCCTGCGGAGGCAGGATAACGTCTTGTGAGACCACTCCTCTATTCCTGAAATACGTAAACAATGACCATCTGTGCTCTGTGCACCATGTGCCCGTGACAGATCACCACTGGCTTGGTCAGCCCTGAAGGGGGGTGGGGCAGTGAGACCCCCAGGACCCCCCCAACCAACCGACTCATTTCTAGAACAGTTCTGAACATTCCCGAGCACATACTGCGCCTGCTCAGTGATGACAGACCCCCGCCTATGGGGCGGGCACATCGGGTTATAAGAAGGGAAAACATAAGTTTTCAGCGCACACCCACCACCTGAAGACTACAACTACGAGCAGAGAACATCGCTGGATCCGAGGGTGGTGGTATCTTTTCTCTCTCTCTTTTCTTTCTCTTTCTTTTCCTCTCTATCACTCTGTCTCTAACTTAATTTTTGGCACATTAGGGTAATATTGTCACATGTTTTACTAAACCCTGACCTTTCATAGTTCTGCTAAATTTTGAGCATTGTTACGACCTTTGCCAAGCCTCTATCTTTTGTAGTTCCACTGAGTTTTAAGTAAATTTATGATTGGTTTGAACCTCTAAAGTAATTGTCGTTACTTCTGATTACCACGCAGAGAATTAACCTCTAGAGAATTAACCTCACCCTCACTCCCTGAGTGGGACGGGACATTAAATTGGCATAGTTGGCTTCTGTAAGAAGCGGTAAAGAGGTTCCATAAAAGGGATATCAGCCTGAGTGCTGAAGAAAGAACTGATATTCGGTTGAAGCCAAAATCTCCGGCAGTAGGTCATGGCAACCCGGGATAAGCCTGATCTTGACTGCTCCCCGCTGTTGGATTTGTTGAAGAGCTATAAAGCTTGCCCAACCCCGAAAGGGCAGATCTGGGCTGAGGGACACTGCCAGTCCCCAACAACTGTAGCAGAACAGATAAGAGACTTGGCCAAAGAAAATAAGTTTAGGCCTGGAAAGGGAAAGGCTGTGGTTTGTGGTGTCTTGGGAGCTGCATTGATAGCTGCCCAGAAGGACAAATAACTTGTCACAACAGCTGAGCGGGAGGCAAATGAGTCCCTTCAGGAACTGGTTAAAAAACTACAGGCAGAACTGGAAACGGAACGGGTGAGATGGCAACTAGCCGAAAAAGCATTAGCAGATTAGAAAAGAATCACGGAAAACTTGAAGGGTAGCCTACGAGATGCTTTTGTGACGGAA